CCCCCCCGGGGCCTGCCCCCCCGCCCCCGCGGCTACAGCATCCCTGCCCTGCCCGCAGCCCTGCCAGGTGGGGCGTGGGAGGAGGCGGGCAGGGAGCAGCATGCTGGGATCTGTAGTCCCTGCCGGCCCCGCCGCTGTTCGAGGCAGCGGAGCCCGTCCCTTCTCGCAGGTGCCCGCCTGGTTCCGGACACAGCTCGCCTCCTTCCCACGGCGAGGTGCTGCAACCTACAGCTAACAACCGACCCGAAACACAGCCGGCAGAATGTGTGGATAGGGATTTGGGAAGCCTGTTGGCCGTTTGGAAAACCCCTGGGAAAACCCAGGTTGACAGGTAGGTTTGCAGGGACCGAGAGCCCCGCCAACGCTGCAGGTGTCACCCTGTCTGCAGCACCGCTCCCCTGCTTTCCCAGCGCAGACAGCTCAGTGCATGAGAGCTCCTGCCTTGCCTTGATGAGCCGTTTGGGCTTCCAGAAAAAACATCCCAAAACCTCCTCCCAGCAGCCTGTCAGTGCCTCTGTGGGCAGGAGACGCTCCAGGCCTTGGCCCTGGATTAAGAGGTAGTTTTGCAAGCACAACTGCCACCCCCTCACATGGGGAAAACCCACCGGGCCACAGCTTGTCTCCAAGCAAACAGATCTCACCCAAAACTGAGGGGAGAACTTCAGCTCTCCCCGTGGGTTCCCAGTGAACCATCAACATGCTGCCCCCTTTGCCCAGCCAAGCTCCTGGCTCCCCTCCCAGACCCCCACCAGGTCACATAGGTGACCCAAGAAACAGGGGCAAGGACCGACCCCACAGACATACCTGGGGAGGACAGAGCCAGGGGAAGCCCCGTGTTCAGTGTATTTGAAGGCAGTGTGTGCCCCCCCTTTCTGCACCCCCTTGCTCTTGGGGGTGAGCGTCAGGCCCCGGCTCAAGTCACGGGGGCTGGGGCCATGTGGGTCTAGTGGCATCCAGGGAGAAGAGGTGTCGGGTACCACAGCTGGCACACAGCCCGGCTCCTGCTGCCCAGGGACGGGAGGGAAGAAGGGAAGAGTGACTTGGAGGAGGTGGCAGGCGCTGGTGGGCGGGAGGGAAGAGGTGAAGGCAGAGACCAGGGCTCCAGGGGTGCTGGGGCAGGGAGGGCACTGCGTGCTGCTCTGCCACGCTGCTTTCCTGGCTACCTCCTGTTTCCGTCTGGATAGCGCCCACATCCCTGCGTCAAGAGCCCAACCTCCTCGGCGGGCACTGCCTGCCTACCCAGCTGCAGCCTCCTGCCTCTTCTGTTTGTTTTCTGTCTCACTTCACTAAGTGCCTCCTAATTTTTTCCACCAAGAGCGGTGCCTGCCAAGGGGTGCACAGGTCAGCACTCATTACGGCAGGAAACGCATCCAGACGCCAGCTCTTATAAAAACAACCTTACAAGAAAACAGAAAAGGTCACATGAACCAACACCAGCAACAGGTGGCAACCTGGCTCCAGTCTGGCAAGAGCAGCCGTACCGTAAGGGATTAGGGGACAGAGGCCACCCTCCAGGCACCAGGGTGGTGCAGCACAGATCTAACCACCTCCCAGAAGAGTCTCCTGATGTTTAGCTGGGCCACCAGCATGGTGGGTGCACAGCCTGGAGGACAGGAGAAGCTATGCGGAGTCTTGGAGCAAGGATATCCATTTTGTACCTGGGCTCAGAGCTGTCTGTCTCATCCCCTTGGAAGCTACGTGTAAGCAGAAGGAGAAAGAAAACAAGGAGTGAGCTTAACAAACCACAGGTTAGCACTTCTGAGCAGGTACAAACAAGAGATGGCATAATTTTAATTGCCCATTCACAGTGCACGAGGATCTCGACAGACGCTGAGTGACTCCTGTGGTATTGGGCCACAAGCAGCCCCATTGCCAGCCAAGCCCTGCAAGCCTGCAACAGGACCAGCCATCACCAAAACCACCTGACCTCTGCAGAAAAACTCGCACTGGAGGACAGCCACACCTGCAGGCAGCCATTTGTCACCAGGCTTTGGAGATCTCCCTACCTCTCCCTCCCCACACATCAACTTTTCTCCTGCTTCTGCTTCACCCATGGTGAGCACAGCACACACTTGGCTTTCCACTCCAGCAATTTCATGGTGCTGGGTAGGTGTGCTATGGGTTTATACCCAGAAACACTAGCTCTTTAAAGAAAAGCCCTTTATGTCACACCAAGTGTAGCACCATCCTTGCAGTCCCTAGACAAGGGGCTGACAGCAGGCCCACTGGCAGGCACCCCATATCCTGTCACCTTACTTGTAGGGGATCACTTTGCAGGGGTAAGGTCAGCACTTCCTCCAAGTGTGGCCAAGACAGGGCAGGGCCAGATGCCTCCCCAAGCTTCACCCCATCCCCTACATCCACTTGCCCCCTTGGGTGACACCAGAGCCCACCAGGCCCGAAGACTGATCTGGGGGCCCACTGAGTTACCTGCAGGTGGGGAACAAGCCCAGGACGGGTGTGCAATTCACATGAAGCCCTGGTGGCCATGACTCAGATGGAAGATGGGAAACACTCCGAGCCTGCTTGCTACATGAGATTTCATGTACATGGCTGAATTCTAACCACACTGCTTGTGGGTCCTCCGACCTTGTGCTGGGGCCAGGGGAAACAGCCCGCAGGGCAGCGTCCAGCCTGCCTCCACCTTCAGCACACTGCGTTTGTATTTCACAAGAGGTATGAGTGTGTGCAATTGTGCATCCTCACCCCAGCACTGGGACTAATGCAAGCCCTCCCAAAATAAGGGCAGGTACCCTGGGTCAGATCAGAGGGCAGTCTGGCTCAAGAGCTTGTCTCCATCAGATGTCAAAATCAGACACCAAGAAAAGGTAACTGGGGGTTAGGCACAGGCTAACACTCCAACTGCTCCCTCATGCCAGGGGCACGTTGATGCGTTTTGCAGCCCACGGCAAGTTTCACTTCCTTGAAAATTCTTCTTTCCCCTCCAACTCAGGAGACTGCACAAAGGCAGCATCTCTCCTCAAGTCCAGGGCCTTGACAAGGGCTCCCTCGCTGTCAAAGGGTGGGTGAGCACTGGAGCGGCTTCTTGTTGCCAACCAGGCCTGGATTGTATCCACCCTGATGCACATTTGCGAAACAGCTACATTCTAGCTCAATTAGTCATCCGGACAAGGCTCCACAACTTTGGTCCTCCTAGCTGCTTTCCTCCTGGCATTCCTCAGACCCCCTCAAGGTGCTGTGGTTGGGGGCACACGAGGCCTGCGGGGAGGCAAGTGCTGAATATGAAGAGTGGCACAAAGCCTTCCAGCTTTGTTTCTGCTTTGTCACTCCTCGAGATGATTCGAGGTGTTTTTTCCTGTGCACCGAGCCATCTGAAACAGCCCCGGGCCTTGCTGCAAGTGCCCAGCTCAGTGTGTAATCTTTGCGGATCTGGGGCTCCTTCCCCCATCTATCACTTGATATTTATCTAAACTGAATTTCATTTGCCTACTGCCAGGTGATGTAATGGCCCTCTGTACTCTTCCGAGCTGGCACTTGCCCTCACTAACCTGAGTAATCTAATCCCCTCAGCAAGCCTTGTCATCTCATTGCTCATTCCCTTTTCCAGGTCACTCACAAACATGTTTGAAAAAATATGGGACACAGTGCAGCGATCTCTCCACCACAGAAACTGACCACTAACTCCTACGTCCCCCTTCCTGTTTTTGTACCAATTACAGAGCCGTGCAAGAACCTTCCCTCTTGACCAGCCAGTTCCCTTAAAAACTGGGCTGAAAGCCCTAGCTGAATGTTTTCTGGGAAGCAGCGTGGGCACCACAAGCACAGAGTCCAGGCGAAGCACTGCACCAGCTTCTGGGTCCCTCAGCAGGAGCATCCCCACAGATCCCATTCCTGTGCAGGCACCCAGATGGCACAGCAGATTCACCAGTCAGCTTTTCCCTGAAGTTCTCTCCAGCCCTTCTTAGAAATGAACATCACGTCTTTTCCCCCCTCACAGTCTCCGAGGGCTGGGGCAGTTGTGAATGAATGACTAGAGACCACACGTGACAGGCAGCCCACACAGCCTCCCATTCCTTCTGATGAACATCGCCTTGCCCTACTGACTTGTTATTCTTTAGCTTTGCTTTCCAGCCTTTCTTCTGCAGATGCTCTGAGAAGCCCACAAAAGAAGGCAGGAGATACTGCTTAGGCTCTTCTGGAGCAGACAAGAGTGGCAAAATCTTAATCTGGGTTTTCTGCTACGGCCTCTTTCCTCCCACACCCCTCCAATGGATTGTGGTAGGCTTCC